ACATTGATGTATTTATACATCCGATAGCTTTTTACGTCTTCATGTATTCAACATTCATGTATTTATACATCCGATAGCTCTTTACGTCTTCATGTATTCAACATTCATGTATTTATACATCGGCCAGCTCTTTACGTCTCCATTTATGCAACATTCATGTATTTATACATCCGACAGCTCTTTACATCTTCATGTATCCAACATTCATTTATTCATACATCCGATAGCTCTTTACGTCTTTCATTTTTTTATTTGATTTGAGCGTTCCAGGTGAAGTATATCATTCAAAGCTCAAAGCAAACGTGCTTTAATTTAATATTCACTTTTTTATGGAACAGCAATATTAATATATTTTTCCAAAGTAATTTTCAAGATATATAGGTATAAAAGAATATTACCAAAAAAGGTATGGGGAAAAGGAGAACACTTCAAATATAGAAGGTTCACTGTGGCTTTTCACAGAAAACTAATTCCAGTGATTCGTTGAACTGACGGTAAAAACAATTTACCATGTACTGGAATAATTTTGTACTAACAATATGTTTATTTTTTTTTACAAAACAATGCAACTTGATAAAGATAAATATAAGATATAAGACAGCATTGTGAATTTCATATCTATTACCGGGAACACGCATACTTTAACATATATTTCCGACAGGCACATGTAAATAAAATATCATCAAAGAAGTTGGTATTGCCGTTATCTTATTATGAGAATCAACAATTTCAGAATCTGTATCGTTACTAAATGAATAAACACTCGATAGTTGTCCAGTTTAGCATTGCATATTTAGGTATGGACAGCTGTCCAGTTGTACATTGTATATTTAGATATCGACAGTTGTCCAGTTAAATTACTTCGGTGTTCCTATTGTTCATTTGTTTTCCTCCTATAGTTGAGGTGTTTCCCTCGATTTTGGTTTGTAACCCGGATTTGTTTTCTCTAAATCGATTTATGACTTTTCAACACCGGTATACTACTGTTGCCTTTATTAAACACTGCATATTTAAGTATCTGTCATAATTACAGTAGTTTACTTTTATATATTAGCTTGTGAATTATATACACCAATGAAACAAAGGTTAGTAAAGAAAAAAGTAAAATAACAAAAATACCAAACTCAAAGGAAAATTCAAAACGGAAAGTCCCTTATCAAATGGCAAAATCAAAAGCTCAAAAACATCAAACGAATGGAAAACAACTGTCATATTTCTGACTTGGTACAGACATTTCCTTATGTAGAAAATTGTGGATATTATTTTCCGTGTTAATAATTTTCAAATATTCAAAACGCCTAGGTTGTGTGATCCTACCCCATGCATAGACTGCCTTAGCCGTCTTTGGTACCACATCTTCGGAATTTTTGGTTACTAATCCTATTTAAGTTTGTTTTTTTATTTGGCTTTACGACTTGATCCGAGTCCAACTGATGAGTCTTATGTAGACGAAACGCGCGTCTGGCGTACCAAATTATAAGTGTGGTATCTTTGAAAGAATTTTTACCTGATAAAAAAAAAAACACTCCCTGGATTTCTTCCGTTGTAGGTCAAATATTTGTCTTACTACTTAACAGAAAAAGTACAATTTTTCATTCATTGTGGTCTAGTTAATTGTCCTTGGTTAGTCTTGCCCAATAGATTACCTTCATGAAAGAAAAACGAATTTTAGAAACGCGCGTCTGGCGTACACAATTTTTTATCCTGGTATCTATGATGATTTTAGTTAGATTTGAGACCTTAAGCAATCAAAAATTGCAATAAACAAAATAGAATTGTCACATATAATCAACTCTACGATACTTAGATTATAATGGAAGAACAGATGTATGAAATTCTGTTATGACATATCAGTTAATCGTGTTCAAAATTTTGAAATCTAAAACACAACATCCAAAGCCAAGTCGTTAATAAAATAGAAAATAAATTTTCGATGCATTAGGCATACATGTACTTCATGAGGGTGAAGTATTCTTGGCAAAAGATATGCTGCTTAATGTTGATTTTTTCCCCTAGACAAATAATTAAAAAGGTCGCTGTTTAGATGACATCTTTGACTTTTTTCATTCACTTATTATTGTTTAAATGAGAAACTATTCATTTTTCTGATTGTTGTCAACCCAATTACGCGTTTTCAATTACGCTCACAAATTAGTGAAATAAATTGCATAAAATGCCATCAATGGTACCAAACATATTCATTTCCTGGTCAAGAAAGTCGACGAAATGTAATAAATTCCCATAGTTATGTAGCAATTTATTTGTTTTATGATGGTTAATGTTATTCGCTTAAGAAAACAAATTTCCACACAATTGAAATAAAGATTTACGACTACTTGAGAAGCTATTCGAACGCTACTAAGGGATCGAAATTTTCTAGAAATTGCTGTACAGTTGTGTCACTGATACCTATTAACCATGTTAATTTCATGTGCTGGGATATTCTACAGTCTGTAAATTGGAAGATGGTATGATTTACGTTCCGCGGAAGTTCACTGCTCTTTATTAAAAGAAGAAAAGATATTACAGAAAAATCTCTACGATTAAAACAGTTATTGATTAATCGAGGTTTAAATGATCTTTACTCAAGAGAATGATCTCTTAATGTGAAAAACACTCAAATGACCAGAGGAAATTATTTCTTTGTATATAACATCACGTTGGGCAACCTATTAAAAGATGAATGGTCATGAAACGTTTCACGACTAACCTTTTGCGGAATAATTTGGAAATTTTACAAATACGAAATAATTGCCTGAAGAAAATTTCTCTGTGAGCCTGAAGATGAAATAAGCACTGAAGCGTACAAAAGACGTGCGGATGTGATGTCGTACAGTATCAATGAGTTTTCATTACATCCCAAATTTCACGTCTTATTGGGCAAGATACCGAAATTAAATCGTTCCTCACCAGGCGGAAAATTTCTCTCCCGGCTTCTACAAGATGTAAAGCTAATTTTTCACAATTTCATGCAATTGAATTTGGAGAGGGTAATCAGCCCTGTTCGGATGGTAAATTTGTTCTGATGAAGCTTAATGTTGTCTATTTGAAATGCAGATGACTCAAATATCAACTACCAGCCTACTAGTATCTATTGAAAACAGTGTTTCAAAACTATTGAACGCAGTTTTATAATTTTTCATCATTCTTGTCGACATCAAACAGAAAGCTTTTATTCTAACACAACATTTAGATATATTTTAACTGAAGAACAACACAGATCATATAGCTAAAACAAATACGCATGTACATACGTGTATTGCGCTGTTTTAAAGCGATCTCAATGACGTTAATTCTACTTTTTTAAATTCTATCCATGTGACTTATAATGAGGTATTTTATTTTGTTTCCTATTTCATTTTAGTATAGCATCCTGGTGGTAAAAACGACCATAAAGTGTGCATGTATACATACTAACGTGACGGTACCATTTTACTAAAAGGTTAGAATCATGAGAAAACTGTACCATTTTCTCCTCAAATAGAAGACTTTTTTAACATGGGTTTGACACAGTCTTCCCGTATGTGGTGTTTAAGTTTGTGTTTATCGGATTAGTTAAACCACCACAGGAAATGAACTGATACCACCAGCAGTGACTCGCGGTTGTGACGGAGATTGCCCCTAAGAATCATTTACAACTCTTTGAATATATAAATGTTAAAATTTTGTAACATTCTCTTTTGAAGAGTTAGTTACAATGCATTGTGTGATAATTTATTCTTTGAAGTTCCACATCATCAGTAAATTGGCTCTGTAAAACGGTCCCAGGGCGTGTTTAATTCTTCAGAAAGAATGTATTCAAAGAAGATTTTCATATCAATCAAACAGAAAAAAGCATTGTTATAATAACCATATTGAATAAGTCTTTGTACAAAATATATGTTCCTTTGCTTTTTATTAAACATGATCATGCAGGAAATTTAATAAACAATTTTAATATACGTGATTAGTTCTTTGCTACAAAACCCATACTCTGTGTGAACGGAGTTCTTTAAGTGTAATTGAAATCATGGTGCTTTAGATGTATTTATCACATGCGATTTCCTTGTAAAACTTTCTTGTGATTTTGAATGCATTGTTGATGAATGCAATAAATAGATATTTATTCATTTTTTTTTATTTCAATGGCTATTATGAAACTATTTTCTAAGATATGGTAGATAAACATAAACCCATGTGAAGGTTTACGATACTACCCGGTTTATTCTCTGCTTTGTGTGAATATTGTGGAATATGACAGATGAGGAGAAAATAAGAACATGGCAGCATTTGGACACCTTGAATAACCTTTGTCCAAGACATCTGTTTTACTACTACGGAAATTATAAGACTGAGGAGTTAATGGGCTTACCGTTAATAAAAGTCTTGAAGCTACATTTATCAGGTAGCATTTCATTAAATTGTGTTATTTTTCATAAATAGTGAATAATATTCCTGTATTTTTAATTCGTTAGTTAGCACCCACTCAACTGATTGAAAACTCAATCTTCATATGTTTTGAGCATGATAATTTAATGATCAATATGATTCGCAATGCATGTTCGGTACTAACTTGATTTATAACAAACCCTTCTACGATTTTCAGTTTATGATAATTTATTAGTAATAACTCCGTCAGGCAACAAAGTTGACTATAGATGAAGTTGACTATTATTTTTATGTCCTTTTAGTCAGATAGCTCTTCAACTGTTCCGGTTCTTATACATCCTTGGCTTTCTAATATTTGGCATTGAGCATTCCTTATGAAGTCAAATCCAGAACAGCGCCTCGGACGCATGCGATCTATAATTTTTTTTTTCATTTTTATTCAAAAACAGCACAACGAAAAGGACAAAGTAGCATTAGAAAATATTCTTCCATAATTTAAATTTAAATATGGTTTATTTCCAATGCAATTTGTGAGATGCAAAAAGTAAAATAACAAAAATACCAAACTCCAAGGAAAATTCAAAACGGAAAGTCCCTTATCAAATGGCAAAATCAAAAGCTCAAACACATCAAAAGACAGAACAACTGTCATATTCCTGACATACAAATAATACTAGGTAATGTTCCCCATATATAAACAACCGATCCAAAGTAAAATTTCTTCTATTTTGTGCATAATTTTATTCCATAATGAACTAAAGTTTTATTTTTCACTTCACACTTCACAACAAAACAACTGCCTGTGATCTAGATTTCTCGACAACTATTTGAATTCCGAGTTGTATAAAGCAATTGTTTGAAATAGGATTAGAAAAGAGAGACAAAAATCTTTGAAACGTTCAAAAGTACAGAAAAAAAATATATTAGAAACTTTATATAATGCTGCATTTTTAAAAAGGTTTGTATAAATATTCTCTCTGCAATAACAGTCTGCACATGTTTAGTGTTTACTTAAGCGGAAGGACTATCAACTTTTGTTCACAACAAACATGGGGGCAGCAGAACTTATTGAGGTCAACATTTCATTGAACCTTGAATCATCCAATGTTTTGTTCGTCGCATGAATTTAGACAAATCAGCTTCAAATGATAAAATGTGTGATAGTCGCACTTTTCCTTATAAAACATGTAAACACGAAAGGGTAATCATAGATAGTTTCATGTTCAATGAATTTTCATATCTATACTTTCAGTGTTTTACTGTGATTATGGATTTATAAAATTGTGGCTTGGCGATGTTTATTCTTATGTTAATTCTTTTTTGAAATTCAAAATAATTCATATAACATTAATTCAAAAAATTATATAATAGAAGGAAAGCTGTTGATGTGATTTATAAGAATATCTAATATGGTATTGTGACCGTATTTGAAGTAATTGCTGGCCTTATTTAGTAGACGACAAACAGTTTTAAGTCCGTGTGTACCTTGTATATTTTATACAATATGAATATCAAATGGTTTTTTTTTCTCAGTCTTACGCAATTGATTTTTCTGGTAAATAAAAGTAAGATCAAAATTACATAACCAGTAACCAAAAGGACGAGAAAGTGAATACACATATACGATTTGAAGGTTTAATATATAAGTTCAAGGTTTCATTTTACTTTCATAAAGATGACAGATTCAAGTTCAAAGTCAAGTTCTATAGTATGGCCGTCAAAATTTTAGAAAGACCAATTTCGTGATAAAAGCTATTAAAAGTATTAAGAGACTGTTTTTCCATGTTAAATATAAGCATGTTTCTGTTTAAACTTTGTATACTATAACTTTGTTTTAATTCATTATAAAAAGATACTACCAAAATCATGACACCTGCATAATGGTCGATTGATTTCTGGTGATATTGTTTGGTTTTGGTTTTTTTGATATGTGATATTTCGTCAGGTTCGCTCTGAAGAAGAAACAGCTTTATTTATTAGTTTCTATTTTAATTCAATTTTGTTTCGATCATTTTCCCTTTGTATAAAGACGTTACACAAAAAGGAGGTTCAGCAAAAGGCTATTGTTTCAATTTTTGTCATTGTACATTTCTTTCCTTCGAATCAACCTAATTCAAACAATTGCCACTGCACTTTAATCAATCAGCAATCAATCAATCAATTTTCTTAAATTGAACAAAAAACACACTTAAAATTGTAAATTATCTTGCATTGTCGTCGATCTTTGAAACCAGCATGGTCGCCAGTAAAAGTATGAAAACCACTTCCATCTTTTTTTTTTAAATTATAAATATTATTGTTATTATTATTATTATTATTATTATTAATATAATACCAATCAATTTTTTTTAAATCTATGCATAAGCAAGAAAAAAAAACAAATTAGCTCAGAGTTACTTGAGTACACAAAAACATTATTAGGAAAATCATATGCAGGTATGTAATTTGAACGACCAAACCAGAGCAATAAAGAAACATGTTGCAGTCTTCATTAAATTCCAAGTCATTATTGTATTGAGGTGCGACAGTTGTAAAAAAATATTCGTTGATATTTCATATTATTAGGTCAGGGTTTAATGCTAACAATTTGATACAAAATAGAAACAAATTATGGATCAAATTTACATTTACAATGTAACATTATGTATATACATGTCTTTGAAGGACGAATAAAGTGAATTCTGGTGTATGTAAATATTTATTTCAGATTGTCTTAAATGTATATTAAACACGAACTAATCCAAAAGCTTCTAAGCACGTCTGCAGCACATACCAGCTTACACCAAATTCTGAAAAAAAGAATAAAGGATTTTGAATGAGATTTTCATAACATATTGTACAGGAAGTTCTCAATGGGAATTTAGCATCACCCTTAAATGTTTAAACATAAGCTTTAAGGTTGTGGCCTTATTAAAAAGAAATACAAAATGTAAAATGAACACCATATGTGTTGTACAGACGTATTAGTCTAATCTAATGTTATTTACAAACATTTTTCGAATTTCCATACCACCCACATCTATCATATAAACTTTTCAGTAAGTGTTTTACCCAATACATTAAAACAACAAATGTGTGAACATATATGTTTTACATTTTGTTTTGCTTTTACATGCATAGCATAAATCAATTAGTTGATAAATAAATATACGTAAAAATTCTTAGAAATTGATGCAGTCTAATATCGAAATGTTTGGAACATCAAGTTTGAAAAAAGGAACATAATAAATATTCCCGAAGTTTGTCATATAAATGTAATAGTTAGATATTGCTATGAAGACATGTGACTAAGAAAATCTCACAAAAGACTGAGATTATCTAATCTGAGTATCATTTGCATAAAATTGATTCTATTATTGGAAAATGTGATAGGAATATACAATTTAACACCCTTCCCTTTTCCAGTATATAGTTGGTTAGTATTGTTAGTTTAAGTTTTCTGTCTTATGTTCTTTAACCACAGTCTTTCCTATCTTCCAACAGTGTCTGAATACCCCTTGCAGATCTCAACTTTTTATGAAATGCTGGGTTTGATTTGGTGTTGTTGAGAGAAGGGGGTTCTGTTAATTTTATAACGGTTATTTGCCTGTGCACAATTTCGGCCACGATTGCCACAGCTGCAGGATTAATGCAAATAAAATTAAAAACCCAAAGGAAGAGAACGATTATTTTAAGTTTAAAAGTACTATAAATATACTGATTTAACTATATGTTCACTAATGCTCGAGTCATATGAATGTACCTACGTTTCCCCAATTTCCTCAAAATTTATAAAAAAAAACATGTTCCTGTCTATAACAGTTATTTGATAACAAATTTAAACAATATATCAATTGAAATATCGTAAAAACTTCAATATCAATATCTTTAAAATTCTTCAATGTTAAAATTCTGAAAAAAAAACAAAGAAAAACAATGAACTCACTAACATGACAATACGCGATGGCATAAAGACATCATTTTTTTTTAACTGTCAATGAATGTTTCCAGAACGTCCTGTTTTAATGATGGCAATGATTATTAATTACAATCGCACAAGACAGCAATTTACAATTAATTGTAGTAAAAGTAAGTCGCATTTGTCTACATATTAAGTAAGCTTTCATCCGATGATAAGTTTTGTAAATAATGTAATATAAGACAAAATATTTATAAGACGCATTACAAAGCCTAAATTCCTTCTTTGAAAAGCAACAAAATCTATGTAGCTTCATGAGGAACAACAAAGCATCTTGACGTTCAATTATTTTAAAAGGTTAATCAAGGTTATGATCATTTTATTAGTGTGCATGAAAACAAATTGAAAAGCATACTCCAAGCCCTATTAGTAATTAGAATGAACCAACATTAGGTCCAGTGGAGCTTACAAATTTCGTTTCAAGGTAAAATTACATAAGAATAGAGTTATCCCTATTTTTATATCGAGACCAACACAGTATAAATTCCCCAGTATCATGTAAATCTGTAGAGAAATTCTATCTCCTGATTGAATGTTCATTAGGATTAACAAACAACTATAAATCATTTTACTAACTAGCATTTTAATAGTTATTTGACGTGAGTTAAATTTGGTGTTATTATGTTATCTGTAGTTGGAATTTAAGGCTTGTCAAAGGGTATTTAGAAACCGAAAGCCTCTTCTGTCTATATTTATAAAGATCTTTATATGAAAATCAATAAACAAGTATTAGTACACACAGTTCTGCAAATAAATAGGTAACTAATTTGCTGATACAAAAACAAATCATTACACAGTTGGAAAGATACACCATATTTATGTATATGTTACAGTGCAAATTGGAATTCAGGAGGATCCAGAATCCTCCTATTACAAATTGGAGTTAAGTAGGATCCAAGATCCTCCTATTACAAATCGGAATTCAGTAGAATCCAGTGTCCTCCCAGTACAAACTGGAATTCAGTAGGATCCAAGATCCTCCTATTACAAATTGGAATTCAGTAGGATCCAGGATCCTCCTAGTACAAATTGAAATTCAGAAGGATCCAGAATCCTCCTGTTACAAATTGGTATTCAGAAGGATCCAGGATCCCCCTAGTACAAATTGAAATTCAGTAGGATACAAAATCCTTCTAGTACATATCGGAATTCAGTAGGATCCAGGATCCTCCTAATACAAATCAGAATTCAGTAGGATCCAGAATGGGAAATCAAATACATACTAGAAAAAATTATAATTCGGATTCATTCTTCTTCAATGTTCTTAATAAGTATGGAAAGAGAATAAATTGCAACTTTCAATATTTGATACATTTACAAACAACAGGTCATATAGATAATGTTGAATTCTTTATTATGGTTTATTTACAAAATATTTTGTTCGTGGCATTTTCAAGAGTAAACAGTTTTGAAATCAACATGACCTACAAATCGTATTACATTTTCTGTACAGTTGCAAACAGGAACGAACTGACAATCAGGACTAAAGTTTTGTAGTTTTTTATTCAATGCTTGAATATGTATAATTTCAAAAGCAATACAAAGTCAATAGAACTGACTTAAGGGAAACAGACAGAGCATGCACAAAAAAGATGGCTTAAAAATTGAAGCATTAATCATTTAGAATTCAGGAATTCACATGGTAGAAACCTGTTTAAATTTTCTTTGCAAGGAATGTCTTGAAGAAACTAAAATGTCCTTTTCATCAAAAGTAGTATCAATTTCAAGAAATTGTTTTTTGTTTTTCAAATGTTGCCATTTTGCTCCTTCCAATGTTTCCAATGTTTCAACGTCTACGATGCATCTAAACATCTAAACAGCACTTCAATTGGCAGTGTATTTTTTTTTTCAACGGATAAAACTTTTTATCTCTGTCGTAATTTATGATAACTAATAGAGTTCAGTACACAAAATGAGCACTATTGTGACTTTTGTCAGTTGTGTCTGACTGCAGATTAGGGATAAATTGTAACCAAATGAGTAAAGGAAAATTTCCACGTTATTTATTTCATTAACGCCGTAAAAAATATAAGGTTGTTAAACCCTGACTAAATTCAACAAAAAATCTTTATAATATAATTTTTAAAAATCAACAGTTTTAAATATTTCATTAGAATCAAGTTTTTATTTAAGTTTATTTCATTATGACCTGAATCGAATTATTTTCATTATCTTTTTTATGTAATCATCCAGTACAATTCAGGATCCTCTCTGTACGAATATTGGATATTCCAATGTCTAGTATATTATTTATTGAAATTCTGATTTATACGTAATTTTAATTAGTATAAATCATAATTTCGATTTCTCGTAGTAGATTCCAATTGGTACTATGAAAACTCTGGATTCTTCTGAATTCCAGTTGGTACTGTAACATATACATGTATATATTAACATTAACATGACAGGAAGACAGTTGTTTTCCATTCGTTCCGTTGGATGATAGGGTCTAGCTCTGATTTTGTCATTTTTTATGAACTTCGCCCTTTTTGAATTTGCCTATGAGTTTGGTATTTTTGTCATACTTTTTCATAGCATCAGCTTTGCCATGGAGAGAGAGTCGACAGAAAGAAATTTCATTTTTGATATGAAATTTAAAAAATTTGAACCACAACTGAAGATTGGTCAAACAATTGCATGCGTATCTCCAAGAATTGAATAACTCTATTAAATAATACACTTTCAAAACGAAACGTGAATGATTTTTGATAGAATCAATCCAAATTAAATATTTAATTGACTAATCTTATATCACAATACATTCCTGGGTTCAAATACGAAATGAGCGTACACTGGGGTGCATTTGAAAAGGGATAAGAGAAAGATACCAAGAAGAAAAGAATGAGAAGGTTTTCGATTTTCATTGAGCCCTGAAATTTCATATACTTTTTGCGTGGCTCGTTATTTATACATCCCACCATTGTGTTGTTGTGCTATGGTCAATTTTGTATTCTTGTCTTTTATTTTTGCTTATGTACTTTTTCTATAGAGAGTCTATATGCAATTTTGTTTTTCTTTGTTGAAATAGTTATTTGTTTTATAGTGTTTCAGATTGCAACACAATGTTGACTGCTGTACCCCAATTTTTGACATTTTTACCTATATGTCTGTTTGTTTTGCTCACACATTGTTGTCAATATTACGGAATTATATGCAACTGTCATACAAGTGAGAGGTTTAGCTAGATATAAAACCAGGTTTAATCCACCATTTTCTACATAAGGAAATGCCTGTACCAAGTCAGGAATATGACAGTTGTTTTCCATTCCTTTGATGTGTTTCGTATTTTGATTTTGCCATATTATAAAGGATTTTCCGTTTTAAATTTTCCTTGGAGTTCGGTATTTTTGTTATTTTGCTTTTTTTCAGACAGGAAACCCCTCTCATTATATGTAATGAATTTATACTTTTTTTTTATAAGAGATGACAATTTTATTTTGACACAGATTACTTAAAAATGAAATATCTTCTTTTTTTTTATTAACTATTATATATATAAAGCAGACATAAAAAGTAACATAACAAAAACACCGAACTCCATGGAAAGTTCAAAACGGAAAGTCCTTTGTCAAATGGCAAAAGCTCAAACACATCAAACGAATGGAAAACAACATTCCTGACTTAGTACAGGCATTTTCTTATGTAGAAAATGGTGGATTAATATTTTAATAATATTTGGATAACTATAGCTGTTCTAATTCCAGAAACAATAAAAAAAAAACCCATTAAATTCTAAAAAAAAAAGGAGTTCTGAAAAAAAATTGAAGTTTGAAAAATTTCTTGTTTATGAAATGTTTTAATTTTGATCAAAAGGAAATAAGGGAACATATA